GGAAGAAATATCAACAACCTCAGATATGCAGATGATACCACTCTGATGGCAGAAAGTGAGGAGGAACTAAAAAACCTTGTAATGAGGGTGAAAGAGGAGAGTGCAAAAAAAACAGCCTGAAACTCAGCATCAAAAAAACCAAGATCGTGGCCACTGGTCCCATCACCTCCTGGCAAATAGAAGGGAAGATATGGAGGCAGTGACAGATTTTACTTTCTTGGGCTCCATGATCACTGCAGATGCAGACAGCAGCCACGAAATTAAAAGATGCCTGCTTCTTGGGAGGAAAGCGATGACAAACCTTGACAGCATCTTAAAAAGCAGAGACATCACCTTGCTGACAAAAGTCCGAATAGTTAAGGCTATGGTTTTTCCTGTAGTGATGTATGGAAGTGAGAGCTGGACCATAAAGAAAGCTGACCGCTGAAGAATTGATGCCTTTGAATTGTGGTGCTGGAGTTGAGAGTCCCCTGGACCGCAAGGAGAACAAACCTATCAATTCTAAAGGAAATCAAACCAGAGTGCTCACTGGAAGGACAGATCCTGAAGCTGAAGCTCCAGTACTTTGGCCATCTCATGAGAAGAGAAGACTACTTGGAAAAAACCTTGATGTTGGGAAAGTGTGAAGGCAAGAGGAGAAGGAGACGACAGAGAATGAGATGGTTGGACAGTGTCATCAAAGCAATCAACATGAATTTGACCCAACTGCTGGAGGCAGTGGAAGATAGGAGGGTCTGGCGTGCTCTGGTCCATGGGGTTACGAAGGGTTGGACACGACTAAATGACTAAACGATGACAACGAGATTGCTGACTGGGGCTAGTCACCTAAGCTCTGTTACAGAAGCTTCACTGGCTCCCAGTCAGTTTCTGGGCACAATTCAAAGTTCTGTTTTTAACCTATAAAGCCCCAAATGGTTTAGTTCCAAGCTATCTAAAAGACCATTATCTCCCATTATGAGCCGGCTGGTGTTAAGATGATCAGGAGAGGCCTTTCTCTCAGTCCCACCACTTTCTGCGGTCCTTTTGAAGTATTGAAGTAAGAATCATCTACATGCCCAGTAAGATTATGTACATGGAGTGGAAGAGAGACTGCCATCTTGTTATTTGCCTCAGGCAGCAAAATATCTGGGGTCAGCCCTGCTTGCAAAGGACATAAAGCCCTGCTTGCTGACGTCTGTAGAATTTAAGCAGGCTTGCCCTGTGCGTTATTGCCTTATAATAGTGCATCTTCTGCTGCCTGTAGTAGACTCCTACCTGGATTCTGGTAGCTCCAACTGATTTTAACTGCACCCACGGAAGCCCACAGGGAGGTTAGCTCTGTCTTTCAATCTGCTGGCTCCAATCTGCCAGTTCCAGCTGAGGCAGCCTCCTCATCTTATGTCATGGTAGAACTACTTCTGGTGTTTTCCAACACATTGGCCCAAATCCTGTTGGTTAAGGAAGCAGGCCCATTGTTCAATGGGAATTCAGGGAATCAGCTTCTCCATAAATTCTGTTGATTCAAATTCAGCCTACTCTAGTTATGACTTTAGCATTGTAAAGTGAGTCCATTTGAATCAATGGAACATAATGAGGAGTTGACTCACTAAATCGCTATTGTTTTAATGGGCCTACATTAGTGCAGTGTACTGTGCTAAGCAACAGAAGATTGGTCATTGTTGTTGAAACTGCCTGGCTACATCTTTGCACAAGCAAAATGTTTTGGGAAGCAACCTCTGATCCAACAGCAACAGGACAGGATAGAGTCCCACAGACAAAATAGCAGTGAAACCGGTTTAAATATGATTGGAATACCTGCATTTGCTGTGCTTTCTTTGTTGTTGTCTAATCCTAATATCAAACAGAATTATACTATTGTTGAAGACTCTTGGACTAGGCTGAAATTTGCAAAAATGGCACATACTAATCCTTTCTGCACTGTACAAGGTCATAATACAAGTGAGGGACCACATATTTCAATTATCTCTTATGACACATTTTTTTTTGTTGCACTAATGATATATTTGACTATATCAGGGAGGTACCCTTCATCTTGGTTTTCTACTTTTCATGTACACAAATTGAAACATTAAAGTACATCATCTGACATTCTTCCCAGGTGCAAGAAATGTCCCAGAAAAAAGGTTTAAAAACGAACATAGGAATGTGTATATACATGGATGTGTTCATGCATTGTGCTGCATTTAAACATTTAATCTGTGCCACATGCTGCTCCTTTTCATTCTGGTCTTTTATTTGGACTAACAGGTTAGAAATGTATTTCTGTGACATACTAATGCCAAGAATGCTGAATCATTATAACTTAACCCTGGAGAAAAATATCCACTTGTCCAGGGCAACCAGGGAGGTATTTTTGTTTGCATAATGCAAACTTTATTTACTAACACCGAACAGCATTGCTGTTAAGTGCTGAACAATTGGTTGTTCTATGATGACCTTTCCCAAGGTCTAAACTATTGTGAGCCACTCTTACA